CGCGGGAGCGCGGCTCCGGCTCTAGGGACGGGGAGCGGGGACCCCGGGAGCCGCGTGAGGCGGCCGCCAGGGGCGGGGTGCGCGCAGTTCGGAGACGGGGGCGCTGTGGGAGGGAGGGAGCGAGAGGGAGCGGGGGTGGGGCGCACCGACGATTCAAACCCGAGACTGGAAGAGATTTTGAAAGGTCATCTCGTCCTTCCCCCAGCCTGGAGCAGGGCCGCCCCTCCCACCCCAGACCCGGACATACCAGGGAAGGGGTTGGCGCGGCCGCCGCCGCTGCCCCGACACGCACAGACTCGGGAAGTTCTTCCTGGGGTTTTATCGCAAAGCCTCTCCCTTACAATTTCTGTCTCTTTTTGGGGAGGAGGAGGGGCGATTATAGAGATAGTTAATGTCTGCCGTACAAGAAACATTAAAGTTACTCTTCGGTCCTTTCTGTTCTTGATAAACAATTCTGACTCCTCAAATTCTGTTTTCCATTCTTTAAGATACTTTAACGGCTCCTCAATATAACAAATATTTACTGAACGCTTAAACCTAAGACCAGGCACTGTGCTTAGGGCTGTTGGGGCTGCACTCTCAAGGGGAGTGGAGGGGTACCTTCCCTGGAGGAGGAGATTGTAGTGTGGGCAATGGCCACAAACTTGTAAGTAGTATGTTCAGATTTAATGAATATTTACTGGGATGCCGGCTCACATTTAATATCCCATAATCCTTACCATAACCTTCTAATATAATTAGCTCGCTTTTATATGTAGGAAAAATGAGGCTTCAAGGAATCCCCCCCCCCCGCAAGTTCATGGGTCCTCAATGCGAGCCTAACATGTCACATCTCCATTAATTCACATGGGGTTGAGAAGGGAGGAATAGACACCTAACATTTTCGACCCCTTTAAAATGTGATTCCCACTGTCCAAGAAAGGAGTGGATGCAATGTTTCAGTAACACCTGCCTGGCACCGGGTGAGGCAGAAGTATAAAGAAAACCACTTGCTTTCCAACAGCCTGTGTGCCAACACTCCCGGGGGTCGTCTAGTTGAGTTTCACCTATGCTCAGTAACAATAAATAATAGCCACTAACATTTATTGAGCCCGTAAGTGCTGGGTACTGGGCTCAGCTGGTTCATATGTGTTTTTTCTTTTAATGCCCAAGGCAACCCCTTGAGATTAGTATTAACTTCTCTTTATAGATAAGGAACAGATTAAGTAACTTGCTCAAGGTCATCCAGATAGATCAGGGACTTGAACATTGGTCTGTTGTCTCCAGACATTGGGCTCTGCAGATGGCCTTTCCTTTGTTCTACAGAGTATGTGTGTGTGTGTGTATATATATATATATATGTACAGGTCCAGCTGGTTTTGCTTCTTATTGTAGAAATAAATGTCCCCAGCTCAACTTGTGAATAAGCCTTTGAGTATACAGCATCAGGCACATCAGAATGACCTCATCTGCACCATTAATGGTTATTACACATTCACCCTGAACCAACAACCCATTCACAGGCATATTGTTGGCTCTGTTTTATCAGGGAAAATCTGAGGTTCAAATAGTTAAAATAATGTGTCCATGGGCTGGTGAGATGGCTCAGTGGTCTAAAGCACCTACTTAGAACAAGCTAAGCTAAACAAAGCACAGGGACCGCGGTTCAATCCCCCAGCACCACATGCCAGCCAGCCCCGCCCCCTGGCGGGCTGAGCAGGCCACACACACACAATAAATAAATAAATAAATAAATAAATATTTCAAAAATAATAATAATAATAATGTATCCAAGGCCACACAACTTGGAAAATGGCAGAGCTGAGATTCTAGCCTAGGCCACAGGGCTCCTTTTAAAACTCTCAGAAATAATGTTGTAATAGCATCCTTCCCAAAACTGACCATTTTTAAAATTTATTTATTTATTTATTTATTTTTGGTGGAACCAGGTATTGAACTCATGCCCTTGTGTGTGCCAGGGAAGCGCTTATTCCACTGAGCCATCTCCCCGGCCCAAGACTGACCACTTGAGGGCCATATTCCATATATGTCTAAGTGCAAGTTATCACGGAGTCGGACACAATCTCCAATACTTGCAGGACTCCCCATCCACTTAGCGCTTAGTCAGTTCAGTGTAAATCATCAAAAAAGGGGAGAAACTGTCTAGAAAGTAACAGGAAAGCCAGAGACATTAAAGCTTACCTGGTCTGGGAACAAAGTAGCAAATACTAATGAGAACTCCAGATAGTAATATAGGACCCCATAACAAGTAATTTGATGAGGAAATCAAAAGAAAAAGATTAGATGGAAATAAGGGGAAACTGAGGTCCAGTGTGATAATGTCCATAGGGATGAGGTGAGTGAGTCCCAAAAGAGGAACCCAGGGGGCCGGGGAGATGGCTCAGTAGAATAAGCGTTTCCCTGGCAAGCTCAAGGGCTTGAGTTCAATCCCTGGTTCCGGAAAAAAAAAAAAAAGAGGAACCCAGGATGGGCAAAGTTGGGGGCAACAGGAAATGGGAACACAGTAAGGCAATGCTGGGTGTCTTTGTGAACTGAGGCTGGTGAACACCAGCTTCTTCCTGTATCTTTAGGCCCTTGAGAGGACCTTTGCCCCACCACACCCCAACCCTGCCAGGACTAGTTTGTTGTCTGCTCTCAATTTTCTATACCCTAAGGACTCCCAGGACACAGCAAGGTCCCATTCCTTTGGAGAAGTTGCTTCAAATCAGGTACGTATAAAGCACTGAGCCTCAATTCCTGAGTGTTAGAAGTGAGCAGAGGGGTGACTGAAAGAGGTCTTGTGTCTCTTCTTTCTCTGCCTGAAAGATCTTGTAACAATTTTTTCCAGCCTAGGACTCACCCAGCTTTTTTTTTTTTTTTGCGGAACCAGGGATTGAACTCAGGCCCTTGCACTTGCCAGGGAAGCGCTTATTGTACTGAGCCATCTCCCCGGCCCCTCACCCAGCTTTTGTGGTCAAGAGAGCACCCATGGAGGATACAGCTGCTCAGCAGAAACCGGAGAGACCCAGTGTCCGTCTGGAAAAGTTACAGCACTGGGCAAGGCACAGGCAAAGTGGACACCTCTTGGTGCTGGCGGTGAGGCTAGGCTTCCCCACTCCAGGTCTCAGTATGTTCACTTGTGCCCAATTCAGTTCCATCCATGTTCAGGGAGCACCTATCATGTGCTAGAAACTGTTAAGTTCCAGTGGGAGGAGGGTGGAGGAAATACAGATATAAGTAAGGGGAGGCCCTTCATCTCCAACTAGCTTCTGTTATATGTGAAAACAAAACAGGTAAGTAAACTACAATGAAAAGCAGAATTAATTAAATGGTATTTAATTTTTAAATATAACTTCTTTTACTGTCTTTGGTTGACTACTTTGCTTCCTACCGTGCATTCACTGCAATCCCTGATTTCTACTAGAGGAAAGAGTGCTTGACAGTTTCCCCCAACTACCTCGCCCTGGCCTATAGGTGAGTCAGCTATGGCTAGCAGTAGTTGTGGTGCCCTTTGCTGTCTCTGTTGCCTGCCTGAAGTCTGCTTGTCACATGACCTCACTGCTTCCAGTTACACCTGGAGCCTCAGTAAGACATGTCACAAGGGAGGGTGGAAGGAAAGTCCCAGGAGCGCCTTCTGGTGGAATCAAAGTTTGATACTTGCTCTTCTCACCATTCAGGGTCTCCTCACAGGGATTGTCACCCTTGAGCTTCGAAGAGCACCTCGACTATGGAAGGTGAGAGGAGGAGAGAATATAATACTGTCCAGTACTGTCCATCGTCTGCTAGTAGACAGACAGACAGACAGACAGACAGACACACACACACACACACACACACACACACACACACACACACACTTTAGCAAATTAAGTGGCTCTGTGACTTAACTAATCTCAGCTGTCTGATTCTGACTGGCCTAAGATCCTACGAAATGAGAGAAAGAAGTTAACGAGTTAATAGCCTTGTTGGAAAGTGAAAAAACAAGAGTTGGTTTTTTGTTTACAGCTAGGCTACAGGTGGGGTTTGTGGTTGGAATGAGCCCCTTAGGCTGGACAGGGCTGACCAACTCACTGGCAGGTTCGGGCCATGATGATATTCAACACCTTCAACCTGATCTTGGGCTTCATCGCCCTGGTGATCGAGATGATGAAGACAGCCTTGGGGCCGGCCTCCACTGCCCACTCTCAGGTACTGGCAAGTGAAAGACAAGAGGGGAAGAGGAGGAGGCAAGAGGAGAGAGGGAGAGGAAGGACAAGGGGAGACAGGTGCTGAGTTCCCGAAGCCCCCTCAGTCTTGTCTGTCTGTAGCAGGCAGGCTTGCTGGTGCTCGAGCTCAGCGCTGAGGCCTTCACCACAGGAGGAGTGCTGGTCTCAGCATATGCCCTATTGTTGCTGAGTCAGAGAAAGCCAGGATGCTTCAGGAGCCAGAGTCTGCACTACCAGGAGCTGCAGGAGGTATTGGGGGAAGACAGGAGAGCGTGGAGCAGCTAACTGCCAGCTCATTTTTCTACTAGCAACCTTGGTCATTGTCACCCAAGGGAAGACAGTGGGGCAGAGGTCAGATTAAAAGGACCTACGTTGGGGCCAGGGAGATGGCTCAGTAGAATAAGCACTTCCCCGGCAAGTGCAAGGGCCTAAGTTCAATCCCCAGTTTGCTGAAAAGAAGAAAAAAAAAAGGACCTACATTAAAACTGGCTTCTGGCTTTGGGCATTGTCCTCTAATGGTGGGTAAAGGGAACTGGGTATCCAAATGACTGGGGCCAGAAGAGTGGGTGAATATAGGAAGCTGTGTAAGTGTGTATTGTGAAGGCTATGACAAAAAATAGGACGGAGAAAATTCTTTCTCTTTGGAGTTTCTCCTTACTCATCCGTACAGTTGGCTCACCCCTTTGTCTGGTTTTCAGGGCCTCTCTGAGGTGGAAGAGGTTCCTGGTTTGGCAAATGGTCTCAATGTAGCCAGCACAGGAAATGGAACAAATGAGTGAGCCCGTGAGGGGAAGCAGACAGGTGCTGCTGCCCTTCAACCCTAAAGGAGCGCTGCCCAGATCCTCTGCTTCTCAACCTACCAAACTCAGAAGCTAACTAGATTCTTGGGACACGCATGAAGTCGTCTTCCCTTCTGCGCTACATAAAGATATGCCAAGGCAAGAGTCTTCCTCATCGTTATCTTCTTTTCCCACTGCCTCTCCACACAGCTTCGCCTCTGCATCATTTTGCCGCCTTTCTGTCCATCATTCATTATCCCATTCGCTCCACGCCCGGATTCCGGCACACACCAACCCTGCATCGGTGTCCCTTCGACCCAGGTCCTGGCTACGCTAGCAGTGACTACAAGTCCCAGGATGCCTAGCTACCCCGTGGCCTGCTGGGAAATAAAGAGCCATCCCTTCCCTCCGCGGTGGGGGCGCTGTGCATCTGCTGAGTGACGCGAGGAGCTGGAAGTCAGGGCCTCGCCGAGGCTCCTCGGACGCGACCACTGGCCCGCGTAGGGGGAGGGGCCGGGCGGGCAGCGCCGCGCAGGAGCACCAACGCTGCAACTTTGAAACGGAGCGCGGACTCGGGCTCTACACTGCTTGTGCCAGCAGCTTCGGAGCCGGCTAGGGCTAGGGGCTGGCGCTTGGCAGAGCTGGCGTCCCAGGAGCTGACGCCGCGTCCCCTCGCAGGAATGCCCAGGTCCAAGGTCCTGAGACTTGGAGTGCGCGCGAGAAAGGGCTTGGAGATGATGACTCAGAATCGCGGGCCCTTTCCCGTTCCCCTCCCCCACGGCGTAGGCGCCGGAGAACAGGCTCGGTGGGCAGGCGGGTGGGCCTGGCAGGCAGAGGGAGGGACGAGGCGACCCGACCTAAGACTTTCCCGCCTCTTGCTAGCACTCCGGTGTGACGGTCCCGCGTTGGGCGGGAGCCAGACTGCGCAGGCTCAGTCTCGGCGGTCGGGGGACCTTTGATCCGGGGTTGTGGGGTTGCGGTCTGGTTGCTGAAGCTCACATTGCACTCAACCCCCCTACCTTTTATGGACTTTGCAAGTATACAAAGATGCCGAGTTCAGGTGGGCTTGGGGAAAGCCCAGGAAAACTCGGAGTCCCAATAGCACCAGCTGGGCAGAAATTAGAAATTGACCAGAGCTGGAATACTAAGAAAACTCACCCCAAATTCACATAGTGCCCAGGATGGGTGTGCGCCTCACACTCATGTTTGTTCTCACTTGAGAAGGCTTCTTTCCCTAGAGAATGCAGCTGCTCCAGGCCCAGCCAAGCCCGGGCACAATGAGGGTGGAGTGCTGCCTCGCCTTGCCACTACAGTGGCGCCAGCTGCATCTCTTTTCTGCTGTGACACCTTGGGAGTGGTAACAGTCGCCTTATGACAAAGTTAAATGCAAGTACGAGTGGGTGGGGACAGTTCTGGGATCCAGCTCTGGAATGGAGAAGACACAGTCTGGGCCGCCTCCTTTTCCTCCCCCAATCTAACTGCCAAGATAATGGAAGGCCCGTGTGTAAAAGGCTCTGAAGAAAGAGTACTGCAATTTTCTTCAGTCAAGTGGTAGTAGATGAGGAAGCTGGAGAGGAAAAATCAACAATTTGTCTTCCGCCATCTCCCCAGCCCCTCTGTTTCTTAAAAGAAGCAGCTCGGGTGCAAATGGACCCTGTAGCTCTCAGGTTAAGTAAACTACGTTATTCTGTGGTAGCTGCTAAACCCTCAGTCATTTACAGCCACAGAGTAGTTTAGTTCCCAGTGTCCAAAACAGCCTAGCAAGGGACTCAACTCATTCTTAGGTACTCAGGTACCAAAGCCGACGAATCTCACCATTTTGAGGTCCTATTGTGTCACGTGGTTTAAGGTTAGCTCCTTTAGAATGAAGGCGGCATAAAGAATTTCGCCCCTCCCCCCCACGTGTTACTTAGAGCAAATCCTATGGCCACATTTAAGTTCAAGGAAGTAAGGCAGTCTTCACATGTCTGAAAGGAGAGGGGAAGCAGAAATACTTCATTAAAAAAAAAAGGGTTAGTCATTTGATGATTCTTCAACAACCTAGTAGATGTATCCCATCTCTTGTAGAAGGTATTTTCACTTCTTTGTTGGTTTGGTTTCATGAGCCCATAAGTAAAATTATTAGTAGAAATTATCCCTCAAAAAGTAACAGGATTGGGTGTCAGGAAATCTACATTCTGATTCTGTTACTTGGGCAACTCAAAACTCCCTAAACTACCTTTTTCTTACCTAATGGTTGTACTCATCTGTTTGTCCTCATAATGGAATGTTAAGGTTAAAATCTCACAAGAAGTCCTTTAAAACTATAAGGCACTAAGGTGTTGAAAAATTGCTTATAGAAGTAAAGAATGGTTTGAATAAGTGAAGCAGATTGGGTGTAAGGTAATAGGGACTGGTGAGACATGGCAAACTGTTTATTTAAGTGAATGGAAATTATCATTCAACTTCACCAGTTGATGCAGTGTGGGACTGTGGACCTGGTAGTGCTAGATCTTTAACTTTTCTTTCTTTTTTTTTTTTTTTTTGCGGAACCAGGGATTTAACTCAGGCCTTGTACTTGCCAGGCAAGTGCTTATTCTACTGAGCCATCTCTCCGGCCCCTTTTAACTTTTCTATAGAAGTAAAAAAATTCTGACTTTTAAAGTGTGAAATCTGAGCCAGGCATGGTGGCACCTGGCCTGTAATCCCAGCACTTGGGAGGCTAAGGCAAGAACACTGTTGCAAATTCAAGACCAGCCTGGGCTGCAAAGTCAGCTCAAGGCCAGCCTGAGCTCCCTATCTTAAAAAGACACACAAAAAAGTGAACTCTGGACTGGGGATGTAGCTCAGTGGTAGAGTGCTTGTCTAGCATGCACAAGGCCCTGATTTCAATACCTAGTACCACACACACACACACACACACACACACACACACACACCAAGTGAAATATTTTAATTATAAATTATAACATTTTTTACATAGCTCAGTCTGGCCTTGAACCCATAATCCTTAACTTCTCAACTGCTGGGATTACAGGCATGTACCTAGTTATAACAAATTTTTTTCAACTCAAGGGCCAGTTTCAGTCGATGCTCCGGTTATCAGTCTACATTACACAAACATACAGCTGGGCACAACTACTCAGAAACATTGATTGATGAGAAAGTAACAAATTCAAGAGGGCCCCAGGGAGCATGGACAGATTCCATCTTAAAGATCAACAAAAAGAAATAAAAACAGGTGTTGCATGCCTGCAATCCCTGCTTTTATAGAGGCAGAAGTGGGGAGATTGCAAGTTCACAGTCCTCCTGGGTAATGCAGTAAGACCTGGCCCCAAGATAAAAAGTTATGAAGGGCTAGGGGGTAGCCCAGTGACAGAGCGCCTGCTTGCCCTGTGCAAGGCTCTTGCTGCTTCTGTCTCCAGTACTGCACATAATAATAAACATTAACAACCCACATGTTAGGAAGTCAGGCTTTGGATGTATGATATGGTTCATGTAGACCTTGTGAAATCCAAGCGTCTTGGAGGATTGAACATGGAGTTCTAGGTTTTCAGGGAAGGGTCATTTAGCCCTCCAGAGGCTATTTTGCAATGTCACAGACATTTTGCTAATTACAACTCCAGAGGAGAGGGAAGGGGAAGGAAATAAGTAATGGAAGTAGCATTAGATACAAAGTGAGAAGATTTGGGATGTAATCTCGAAGTTAATAATGCTCCTTTCCTGCACAGAACTCTCTGGCAGCTGCAGGAGGGGGCCAGGACTTAATGTTGTTCCCCGAGGTCTGGTGCTCCCTAACCTCGTGGAGCTTGGTTACAAGGCCCCCAAGCCGCCACTGCTTCTGCTTCCTTGTGCTGTCAGTGTGGCAGCCTCTCTGAAGTCACTCCTTCTACTTGACTTAGAGCTGCACAGAGAGGGTACTGACAACACTCCTATTGATAGTTTTTAAAGGCCATGACCTCTATCTCTTGCTTTTAAGTGCTTGGAGAAATAGACACGATATTTGGATTCCTTGGTGGGCAGCTGAACTCTGTAGTGGTTGGAAATTACGCCATACTGATGAATTTACCTTCAGTTCTTTTGAGAGTCAGACATGCTGGCTATGGGTACATGATCATAGATAACTGACAACGTTTTCCAAATGAATTCTCCGTTTGTCGACCTGCTTTTCTGCAAGATGGCCCAGGTTTTGTGCCCAAGGCTATGTCCTCTGCTGCCATCTTGTGGCCTCTTGGCTGCCCCGAGAGCCGCCTCAGACTGCCTTCAAGCCGTCATGGCGTTTGGCAGTGCCCTGGCCTGGCCCGGAATTTTCCCCTCCACTCTGTGGGGCTCCCCCAAGCCCTCCCCCGCCTTGGGTCTGCAGGGGAACCAGGGCCTCGAGGGAGGCGGGAGGTGCGGGGCCCCTTCCGGTTATCAGCAGCTCTTGGGCCTCTGCGTGTGTTATGCAATCTTGGCCACCAGCCACAGAAATCAGTGGACTCAGCTGCCCGGCAGTAATCAGAGCTGACCTCGCCTAGTTGGCATGATGAGTGCCCGGTAGCTGCTCCCCATCCGCCACCTTGGCCGGGATGTTTTGATTCTCAGCAAGAAGCGAAGACACCTGCTCTGGGTTCCTGGATTCTGGTTTTGGTTGTTGCTACCGACGCAGGTCCAGCTGGTGCTACCTCGGAGTCAACATCTGATTGATGGGCTGCGCAGGACAGTGGCGGTGGTGTAGTCGCCGTGTTTCCTGTAAATATGAGGGAGCTGTGCACACAGAGCCGGAGGCCCATCTCCAGGGGACGGTGTCTGGGAGGCTGCCCAGATCTGGGATGCTGGCTGCTGAGCCATGATGCAGCGCAGAGGAAAGACGGAAGCCTTTTTAGCTGAAATTTTTTTTTCTGTTGTAATAATGCTCATATGGGGGCCAGAGAGATGGCACGGTGGAATAAGCGCTTCCCTGGCAAGCGCAAAGGTCTGAGTTCAATCCTGGTTCCACCCAAAACAAAAACACACAAAAAGAAAATGTTAATATGGAACATGTATATAAGTTAAAAAGCTTTCTAGGTGCTAACGAAAACTCAGTACTGGCCCCTTTGTTAGACCCTCTGACCCAACTCACCCAGCTTAACCCCTACCTCAGCCTTGTTTGTCAACCTATCAGCATGTACAGGGCAGTGGCATCAATACAGCCTGTGGTGTGGGGGATCAAAGCTTGTCATTGTACTTGCCTAAGCAGGTGCTTAGTCCGCTGAGCTATCTGGCCAGTCCTATCATTAGAAGCTTTATTTTATTTATTTTTGCGGAATTGGGGATTGAATTCAGGCCTTCACACTAGCCAGGCAAGTGCTTATTCTACTGAGCTATCTCCCTGACACCTTTATTTTTTTTATAAACTTTTCTTAAATTCTGTCCAGAATTAATAATTTTTTTGTTGCTTCTTGTCTGTTTTCTCTCACCACTGTAAAGTTTTCTTGTTTAAAACTGTTT